CCGTACTATACTTGTTAGACTGACAGGGGCTAGGGATTTAGCACAGTGGTTCCGCCGCCTGCCTCATAAGCGCAAGGTCGAGAGTTTGATCCCTGGTACAAAAAAAAAAAAAGGAAAAAAAAGATTTCTAGATTGACTGCTCCAAGGTAAAACCCAAGCCACCTGAGGCACCAGAAAATGAAGAGAAACCATAAATCTGGCATACCTGCAAACTAGTGGATGGCCTCAAGTTTCTTTTCAGAAAAGAAAACACCAACCAACCTGCTGGGTCAGATAAGTAAACTATTTTGTTTCCTCTAAATAAAAGAGAAAATCAGCCCCATACTGGAAATAGGGTCCCTCTTGTGTGTCTTGTGTAGCTAGTTTTGCTACTCTCTTGCTTGCCACGACTCATTCTTGAGATCCTCATCCCAAGTTATAAATTAACTCTTTGGACTTGTTATTTTTCTTGAGATCCTCTTTGATGGCTCAACGATTGCCTTCAAAGGAGATAATGAGCAGTGATCATTTACACAGAACCTTAAATCTAAGCCTTCTCTTATTAAATTCTACTCACCCCAACTTAGCCAAGGACTGTTGGCTGTGTCTTTCCCCATCCTCCAGACAATATACTGTTGTGCCCATCCCAGCTCGACTCTGGGCTACTGGAAAGATAACCTACCACCCCAAATATCAAGGGGGCTTTCCCTTTCAGTTAATGTCCTTAGACAACCTATATGATTTTCAAGTCAGTGAAATGACCACGGTAACCTCAACAGGGAAGGCTGTTACCCTTCTCAGATACTAGCAGAGTAGTTTTCATCAAGTTTCTTCCACAAAACCACCCATTTGAGGCTCAATATCCAGTCACACATTGCTTAAGTTCCAGCCATCCCTTTGTATAAAGAGGACTCAAGACTGGGACCAGAGTCAAGATTTGGGCACATTAAAAGACCTCTTCTGCGAACAAATGTTAACAATAAAGCCTCCACTGGATCATGCCAGTAACCAGATAAACCAAGCTGTGTCCTTTAAAAAACCTGGTGTGGAGTTTTAGTCCCCCGCCCCCTCAGTGTTTTGGGTTTCTTTGCGGCCGCTCAAGATGAACCAATTCTTCGGGAAAGCGAAACCCAAGGCTCTGCCACCCAGCCTGACTGACTGCATTGGCACGGGGGGCAGCAGGGCAGAATCTATTGATAAGAAGATTTCCTGACTGGATGCTGAGCTAGTGAAGTACAAGGATCAAATCAAGAAGATGACAGAGGGTCCTGCAAAGAATATGGCCAAGCAGAAAGCCTTGCGAGTTTTAAAGCAAAAGCGGATGTATGAGCAGCAGCAGAGCAACCTTGCCCAACAGTCCTTTAACATGGAACAAGCCAATTACACCATCCAGTCATTGAAGGACACCAAGACTACGGTGGATGCTATGAAACAGGGAATAAAAGAAATGAAGAAGGCATACAAGGAAGTGAAAATTGACCAGACTGAGGATTTACAAGACCAACTAGAGGATATGATGGAAGATGCGAATGAAATTCAAGAAGCACTGAGTCGCAGTTATGGCACTCCGGAATCAGATGAAGGTGACTTAGAAGCAGAATTGGATGCACTGGGTGATGAGCTTCTGGCTGATGAAGATAGTTCTTACTTGGAGGAAGCAGCATCCGCACCTGCAATACCAGAAGGTGTTCCCACCAACACTGAAAACAAGGATGGAGTCCTGGTGGATGAATTCGGATTGCCACAGATCCCTGCTTCATAGACTTGCATCATTCAAGTACATCATGTAAATTAAACACATCTTCTTGGACTGGGAAATATTTCCAAATTTGCAACAGATTTCAGTTTCTTTCCTTTTTTGAAGGAAAGGTTAATTTTACTGCTCTTTCTTTTTTTTTTTTTTTTTCTCCCATTAAGAAACTCATTGCTTGGAGGAAGCTTTCTTTGTACTAAAATTTGATTCTTTTTCTCTTGCGAAAGATTAACTTAAAAGAATCTTTGGCTTTGTATGACTTGTTTTCATTCATTAATAATTGAAATAAAATCAAGGAGACAAGAATCTTTAGTAAGTTCTATGACAGTATAACTTTACAGTTTCAACGTGACCTTGATAAACTGATAATATAAAGATGAGATTTTTGAGACTGTTCATATTATGTTTCAACACCATTTTCTATTGTGGTATTATAGGTGGCTTAATGATGGCATTTTTGATAGGTTTTGTGGTGTCTTGTGAGCAAATTACTGTGTCCAGTATTGGAATGGAATTGTCACTACTGTATCATGAATGGATATTTTAATTCTATGGTTTCCTCAGTATTACAGCCTGACTTGTAATCAATAATGAATATTTCTTGATATTTAATGTATAGGACATTTATTTATACTCAATAAATATTTTTCAAAAGGAAAAAAAACCCCCCAAAACAAAAAACCTGGTGTGGTTCTCACAGAAGCAGTCTCTGGACACACAAGGGTGAGGAAACAGGGTGTCAGGTTACTGCCAAGGGAGAACCTCCATATTCCCATGGGAAGATTGCTCTCAGCCCACAACCAGTAACTTTGCTGGTGCCATTAAGAAAACTCAACTAAATGAGTGTTAGTGGATACTAAAAGGAATTTCACACATTGGAAAAATAAAACTACCAGAGCTATTCCAGGTACTTCTTATGGGTCCTTTCAGCCTTTGACTGGAGCCACATTGGCATGGACTGTATCTGTCTGGGAAAATGAAAATAATCAGGGAAAATATGTTTCCTATCGAAAATAATTTGTCTTGAGACTCGGGGATTTTTCTTCCTGTGTATCTGGCCCCAGAGATCAATGTAGCAACCAATAACCAACTCCTCTAGCTCCCTTAGCCACTGGGACTTCCTTTGACAAGGACTTTATTAATGCTTCTCATAACCTTCTTACTTGGACCATACATATTTAATCTCTTACTCAAATTTGTTTCTTCTCATTTAACAGCTGTGAAACTACAGATGATGCAAGCCAAGGACAAAAACCCACCTTCATATCTATAGTCATCAACTAATTCTCAGAGGAGGAGTATGGCTCCCTTAGCCCCTTATATCAGTCAGGGCAAGAGTTAAATGGTCTACGCATAAATAGGGCCAGTGCCCCTATTCAGCAGGAAGCAGCTATAGAAGATGAACATTCTACCCTCAGCATCCCTTAAAGATTTTCAGAAACCGGGTCTCTGGGAGCAATAATATAGATTGTATAATTGGGGCTATGAGACCATTCACCTCTACTCAATGAACCTGGGCAACACCTAGGGCCAATCCCTTGACCTTTGTCCTAAGGTCTACTGCCCAGAGGCAGAGAAAAGAAAGACAAAGATCTCTGGCCTGCCTTGAAATATTCTGAAGTACCAAACCTAGACACATATGTGCCAGATTCTCCAGAATGACCTACAGCAGTGATGGCAAACCTTTTAGAGACTGAGTGCCAAACTGTAACCCAAAACCCATTTATTTATCACGAAGTGCCAACACTGTAATTACACCTGAATACTGAGATTTTAGTTCAGAAAAAAACAATTGTTATCTGATGCTCAGCTGCTCGGGCAACCTGGCTCATGTGCTGACAGGGCTCTGCATGTCTGCTGCGGAACGTGTGCCATAGGTTCACCACCGCTGACCTATAGTAACCTTTCTTCACTTGAAGCTCATTGAAGGTTCAGCATATGGACTACATCTCATACATCTAATTATAACAGAGAATTATAGAGGATTTGCTTAATAGATACATGAACAGGTGACATGACTCAGCACCTTGTCAATCATATTATGGAAGAGCCAATGGGAGGTGACCTAGACCCAACAGAACATTTTAAATTCTTAATGCCTTCAGTGCTCCTGCCTTTTTCCTTTCCACTGGTATGAGCCTGCTCACTCTGAACTACTGTCATCTAAATTAATCTTTGCTGCTTTGTCCTTACAGTCTAGTCCCCTTTCCAATTCTTTGTTCATTGGGCACAAGAACCTAGAAAACCATCCAGAAGCCCATTACCCACAGCAACACCTGTACTCTGGGACGCTGAGGCAGGAGGATCACAGGTTTAAGTCCAGCCTGGTGTACCCAGCAATTTAGCAAGATGCTGTCTCAAAATTTAAACAAAGGGGTGGGGGCATGAGTTTAGTGTGAAAGCCTTCAGTTCATTTGTCAGTATGATGATTAAAAAGAAGGAAGAGAAGGAGGAGGAAGAGTAAGATTAGGAAGAGGAGGAGAACAGGGATGCCATTATTATCAGATCCCAAGTGGGCAACAGACACCTCTACTCCCAGACCTAAGTTGATCTCTGAAACACTGTTAACCTCTGCTGACTTTCTGTACAACAAGCTCCTCCCCAACTATTAGAAATTGAGCCTGCACTCACTCCCTTTCTTACATACAGCTGAATTTTTGCCAACACTGATCATAATTCCTGGCAAGTAAGTGATCTACTTTCCAACACTTGCAGTTTAAAGCTATAAATGCAGCTGCCATTTTGTAAAATCTCAAAGCACATTTTCAAGATTTCGTGAATTGGTGTTTTCCCAGATGGCAATCCTAACTGGCCCCACATAAATATAATTTTCTCTGTTCTCAACTAGGGTTTTTATTCTCAGTGAACATATCAAATATAAGCATACCTGAGAGTTGCAAATATGCTGAGTTTTCTATTTACCTTTGAAAGTTCCTGTCACACAGGCTAATCTAGTCAGCAGCTGAATAAAGAGCTCTACCGCACAGGGTCTCCTACCCTTGATCATGGGTGACTAGCTCTTCAGGTCCAACCAATCTTATTTTCTAGAAAGTTTTCATATTATTCAGATCTCCACAGAGCCAACTCTCCCACTGGAAGGAGGTAAATTTCCATAAAACAGGTTGTTTGGCTCCTTCATACTTGCCAAGTTACTGCTTTTAAACTACAAAGTACATCTTTTACTCAGATAAGAAATGCATTTGCTATATAAGGAAAAGTTATTAAACATCCCTGTAAGAATTATATTTAAAAATCAGAGTTTACTCACCAGGGTTGTAGACATAGATGGGCTGACTATATTCTGAAATAAAAATATTTTCATTACATGCTACTATGCTCAGATGTGAACATCAGCTTGTCTTTTTATTTTTTTAAAGACTAGGTCTCACTATGTAGACCAAGCTAGCCCTGAACTCACTATGTAGTCTAGGCTGGCCTCTAACTCAGAGATCCTCTTGCCTCAACCTCCTGAACAGCATGGGACTACAGGCATGCATTACCATGCCTGGCTCTTCAGTCTACTTTAAACACTTACAAATAAAGATGAGAGTTGTCTTACATTTAAGAAACATATTAAATATGGTTATTCTAAGAAATATAAAATTTCAATTCAAAGACAAGGGATGCATTTTATTTTTTAGGTACTGTACTGGGATTTGAACCCACAGCCTTCACACTGAGGTACCTAGGTCTCTCCATCACCACCTTCTTCTTCTTTTTTTTTGGTACCAGGGATCGAACTCAGGATCTTGCACTTGCAAGGCAGGCAGAGGCACCACTGAGCTAAATCCCTGGCCCTTTATTTTTCTTTTTTAATATTAAGACAGGGTCTCAGAAAGTTGGTAATTTGCTCAGGCTGGCCTCTAACTTGTGATCCTCCTGCCTCAGCTTCCCAGAGTGCTGGAATTACACATTTGGGCTATCATGCCTAGATGGATGCATTTTAATTACATGAAGCATTCACAGAAAAGCTAGCCTTAGGAAGATAGTAGAAATAGATTCATGTTTTAAAACCTTTTTTTTTTCTTTCTGGTACCAGAAATGGAACTCAGGACCTTGCGCTTGCAAGGCAGGGACGGTGCCACCAAGCTAAATCCCTAGCCCTTCAAACTTTTTAATAAAGAAATCTTCAAAAGGATCCATTGAGAGCATGCATCAACCTGAGGCATTTTCTGGCAACTCTGGTTCAAATCTATTAGACCCATTTGATAATGCTGTTCCTACTCATAAAATTTCCTGTCTTCTTTCCCAAAAGTTTCCAAGAAATATCCTATTTTTCCCTGAGGAAGCTGAAACAGACTACCATTCTGTCAACCATCCTTCACATGTGAGGTGCATTCATTCCACTCCTTCATTAGTTTCCTGAATGCTATTTCCTAAAGTATCCAAAATAGGCTGGACATGGTGGCACATGTCTGTAATCCCAGCACTTAGGAGGCTGAGGCAAGAGGATCACTGGGGTCCACACAGTGAGTTCAAGACCAGCCCAAATTACACAGTGAGACTGTCTCAAAGAAAAAAATCAAAAACAGGAATTGTAGAATAGCTCTTTGCATAGAAGGCATGTGGGAAAGGGCTAAAGTTTTAAGGACATTCAGGTAAGCTCCTGTATAGTCAGACTAGGGTGAAAGTGGCATGTTCCTGAGGACCCAAGGCACTGCACATCCAAAGGGAAGGGTAGGGACTATATACGAAGCAGGGGCCTGGCAAGCCACTATGGGCAGTATAACAGTGATACTGACTACACTATAATGTCCTGTTGTATCCTATTCTACATTAGCTCTGTTTTGTAAATTTCCATTTGTATAGTTACTGTTTTCCCCTTTTGCCAGTACTGTAAATTCTAAAGAAAACAATGAAGATATTAATTGCTAGAGTCAGCTAATATAGGAAAGGAGCTAGAAAAGCCTTGGTCCCAGAACCTCCTAATTAGTTATCTTTCTTTAGTTTTTCAGAACCCAGAACCTCTAGTAGTCTTCAGATAACATCAAAGTATGGGTCAATTTTTTAATTGAAAGTAGAATGAGTTGGGTATGGTAGCACACACTTGTAATCCTAGCACTCTGGTAGGCTGAGGCAGGAAGATGGTGTGTTCAAGTCCAGTCTGGGCAATTTAGTCAGACCTTGTCTTAAAATAAAAAATAAAAAGGGTAGGGATGTACCTCTGTGTGAAGACCTTGGATTCTACCCCGCTACTACTACTACTAAAAAAGGAGAATGATGTTTAACTTGCAGGGCAATAATGTGTTTGTCTAAGGAGTTATAAGGACTGGCCTAAGAAATAAAGGTCTGTTGTTATCACAAGGATATTCTTGCAAAAAAAAAAAAAAAAGAAAAGAAAATAACCCTGTGAGTGATAGAAATCATTACTAAAAAAGGAGAATGATGTTTAACTTGCAGGGCAATAATGTGTTTGTCTAAGGAGTTATAAGGACTGGCCTAAGAAATAAAGGTCTGTTGTTATCACAAGGATATTCTTGCAAAAAAAAAAAAAAAAGAAAAGAAAATAACCCTGTGAGTGATAGAAATCATTATTGAGCCTGGATGCATGACTCAGAACACATCCTTCTTGTCTATTATCCCACCACCCTCTTTTCCCTCCCCTCTAACGCCCTGTCACATACCTGAGCTCCCTAAGAGAAAGCTCTGAAACAAGAGGCTTCCCTGCAACAGATTCAGGAATAAACCTGTTTCCTTTTTACCAACTTGTGTCTCCTAAGTACTAACTTTCCAGCTGTGGGTAAACGGACTTAGGTCCAAAAAAACAGCACAATTTAGCCTTGAGAAAACAATGGCTGCCAGTATAATGGTGGAGTGGCTCTGACCCATACTTGTGAGAAATAACACTGATAAAATTCCCACTGCAGAGATAATACTTTAAAGTATATCTTACCTAAGTTTTCAGCACAATTTTCACTCTTTAGTCCTGAAATACAAAGATAAAGTTTGTAAGTTAGATGTGGTCTACTGTAGTAAAGATTTCAATTGATCTGTGCCTATTGGTAAGTAATTTATCAACTCCTAATCTTTCAGACCCATAATTTAGTCAGATGTAAATTGTAGAACACTAACATTTTTGTATTCATAGAACAGCCATCAAACAGCTATATGGTTTTTGAAAAAATATCTAATTTTTCTGGAATTCAATTTCCTTATCTGTATCTTTTACTAGATTGCTTCTAGTAACCTTTGAAGGCCAATGGAGGGCTAGCATTGCCATTCTATTCTATAGTCAGAATACAAAAAGGAGGACATTTATGTGTCCCATTAATCCTTTCTTCAGATAATAAATGTTATCAAAGCCATCCTTCTATTCCAACAATTCTTATCCTTTGGGGAAAAAGAATCTCAATCACATTTTCAAGATCCTTTGATATATAAATAAACATCCTTCACATTTATATAGAGAAACAGTTGGTAAGCCCCAGAAAATTCAACTGTATATGAAGGAATCCACAATTTTGGAGGAATTGGAACTCAACATTTAATAGCATTTTTATAAGGCTGTAGACATTCTCACTGGTGATGCCCTAGAAAAAAGTCATTATTGCTGTAATGACTCCCCTGTGACTTGACAAGGAAATCTGCCAGCTTGCCCAAGAGCAATAAAACAAGATGGTGAGAGAGTACTTAAGATGACCAGTGTAAGCCATGGAGATGGCCCAAAGTGTTCTATGAAGGTCTAAATGCCTTGTGGTGATTTCTCCACATCAGGCTAACTCACTGATCTAATCTGCAAGTTCACCTACCTGAGGGTGAGTCTCTTCACCTAAGATGAATCCCTGGGAGACCTTGCTCTACTATGAAAGATGTGCTCTTCTATAATCTGCTCTTAAATCCTACTCCACTTGTAGAATTTGAAGCAAAAATACAAGTAACTTGGTCTAACTTCTACTGGTCCAGAAATAATAGGTTTGCTAGAATCTGGTTGGTGCCCTAAGGCTAAATTCAGGCATTTGGCTAGAAATATTTTAAATACATATTATAATTAAATCTATCAAAAGATGTAGATGACCTATATACAAATTAAGATGATATAAATAGCCGCTTGGTGCGACCAACCAGTGCAAGCTGAGGAGCCAGGCAGTGTGAAGCCCCTGCCCACTCTGTTCTGGGCTCTGCCCATGGCAAGGTGAGGACCCAGGCGTGGCTTGGAGGCCCTGGTCCATCCCATGCTCCACTTAGCCACGCGGGGGCCTGCAGGGCCCAGTCCCGCTCCCCCCTACCCCTGTCATCCTCGTCACTCCCCCCGCCCCTGGCTCTTCTGCTACCTGGTTCCACACTACAGAGGCACAAGGGATTATAAAGGCCCTTGTCCTGAGCTCCACAAGATAGAGCAGACGTTAGCAACAGAAAGAGAGCTTCTCAGGCTCCTCAATGAAAACTGAAGCTCAGCGGAAAAGTAAAGAGAATCTCTACAATAAAGGCACACCAGACCACTGTATTTGGTAAGTTGGAGGGATCATTAACTGGGATCATCACCTCCCATTGGAACCTGCACTATCTTCGGGGGAAGGGCAACTGGAACCTGCAGTAGAACTTTGCAGAGTTCAACCCTGCAGGAGGACAGGGAGCTAAACTTGGGACTAGCAGCCAGAAATCTGCCTGAATCTCACAGGTCTGCTACTAGCTTGCTGAGACTCATTGACTTGTATATGCACACAGCTGCCTAGGTTGCCTGCTGTGACAGCAGAGACATACCCTGAAGGAGGCCCTTCATTTTCATTTTTTGTTATTTGCAAAAAAGAAAAAAATTTTTTTCTCTTATTTTTAATTCTTAAGTT